GCGCTCCAGGCAGCCAGACAGTTCCTCCTCCAGCAGGCCTCTGGACTCAACTCCCCTGGCAACGAGATCAAACAGAGCGCCCTGCAGGTCAGTAAACACACACACAAACAGACTGATGCACAACCAAAGTGCTGCTTTGTCACAATCGGTATAATATTAAACCCCTGGCTGCCGCAGCTTTGCCTTCGCCAACTTGCCACGTCCACCACACAGTGTGATATAGGCACATACTTTTCTCTCTCTCGCTCTCTCCCTCTGTCTGTGAGTGCATGTGTGTGTGATTGTTAATGTATGTGTGTGAATGAGGTCTTTGTAGTGATTGGGTAGTGAGCTGTTTTCAGAGTTAAATTCCACAGTAAGCGGAGAGAGAGGGGTTAGCAGGAGTGCAGGATCCCCACTGAAAGATACTTGAGGAGGACACACACACACACGCACGCACAGACACACACACGCACACACACATGTTGATGCATATCACACATGACATTACTTCTGGTGGTTCTTTAGAATGATGTGATGTTTGGTATACAGAAGTGTGATTTGTAGCCATGGCTCATATCAATAAAGTGGGGCCATGGGTCTACTAGAGCAGCAAGCAGTCTGCTGCAGAACTGCTCTTCTCATTACCGTCCAAAATGATAAACAGACAGCCGTAACACCACAATATGGGGAATAAAGAAAGATAAATAAAGGTGAAAAGGAGGGATGTGAGTCAGAAGCAACGATAAGGTCGGATTTCATTCTCAGCGTCTGCAGCTAGTAAGGTGCACTTGGGAAAAATGGGAAACTATTCACATTAAAAGCTGATAATACAAAGTCAATTGAGTGATATCTTGCAACGTTTACATGTAATAGGACATACAATTAATGCTTCATGGAAGCATTTTAATTTGTTCTCATAAATATTTGGTGTTGGCTCATGTTATTCCAGGAAAACTCATCTGGTGCAAATAAACTTTTATATGTCCAGCAGCAGGAAGAGGGGTTTGTTTGAAAATGAGCTGGGTGTTTAATATGAATATTATGAGTAGCCTTCATGATAGAGCAGACAAAGAAAAAAAAACTCAAACGTCATCAACGGAAAGACCAAAGAAAAAGATTTTGCCGTGTCGGCCACACAGTTTAATTGCCAAGTGACCTCTGGGATGTGCAAAAATGCCACAGAATTAATGACTGCTTATTACTGGAGATGTCAGAAAAGAAATAATAACGTATAAAAAGGGGGATCTTGCAGATTACACTTTAATCAAAACCCCAATTGGAAACGGAATCACTTTATTTACTTTGGATAGAAAATGTCAGTCAGAGAAATGATATGGTGACTTTAAAGGGGTCAGAGAATAAAATAAAAAATGTTTTATATAAGATCTTTATTGTTAAACATTCCAAGGATTTAAATATAATTTATACTATTAAACCAAAAAGAAATTGCATGTGTGCTTACATTAATATTAATACATGTGTCACAGAATTTCAAAACTGCTTATCTTTCTACCGCATTTCCTCCTTAAATCTTATCATTCACATGGTTCAAATCCACATTGGTGGTCGATCCAAATGGGTCAGTGTGTGTTATCAGACCCTTTCTCTGACCTGTGTCTCATACATATAGGACACAAGTGCTTTGCCCTCGAATGGGAATTGAATAAAATATAGCTTTTGTTTTAGAAAAAAAATCTTTCTCTGACTCACCCTAAAAAAACCCGAAAGAAATACAAAGTGAGGAAGTAAGAAAAAACAAGCACGTAAAGGGAACTGAAAGTTAAAATGTTATGTAAATCTGTTGTTTAGCAATAAACTGTAAGGAACGATACTTTTGAGTCTCTGTGAACGTTGACAATGGGTTAACCTGTAAGTATTCTGAGTTCAAACGCAGATTCATTTGACCTGCCTTATATGAATAACCTTACACTGTTTTCTCCTCTCTCTGTCTCAAACACACACACAAACACACCCCTCCTCTACTCCCTCCATATCTGTCTTGTTTGTTGGTGCCTGGCCTGGCTAGCCTCTCTGTACTCTCCAGGGCATCCACGCTACATCTCTGTTGTCTGAGCTGTCAGCTCACATAGCCCCAGATACCCTGCCAACACACACACACACTTTGATTTACATTTGTGTGTGTGTTTGTACTTGGATCCTCGCAGTCAGAAACACAGGCACAAATAACACAGCACAAAGCGTTGTTTCTGTGAAGCTACAGCTCTGAAGTTGTTTACGAGACCTCGCAACAAACCTGACTGCTAAGGTGGCGCACAGAGATCTCTTAATTACTGTAATTTAGAGGTTGACGATCATTATTGAAAATCGCACAGGACCTGCACTCGGTGGCTGTGATTGGAGCGGGCATCCGTCGGCCACAGAGAGGGTGAGTGAGCCTGGAGTGAGTGGAGCTAGACATTTAATCTGGTCACTTCTAAAGGTGGCAGTAAGCAACTGTACGGTGACACAGTGGCTCACATCAGGCACAAAATGGCCGTCCTCAGGTTGGTTCCTGCTGGGCTGCTCTCACACATGCAAATGAGCCTCAGCCAATAATGAGATCTTTAGGAGCTCGATAATTAGATTTTTCCCTTCTCTCTGAGGGAGAACGACAGAGGCAGACAGGGAGAGCGGGAAGACTTCTATTCGTGTCTTGACTTCTCTGGAGAAGCCTTGGTCTACACTGACAAGCCCCCGCCCCCCACTCTCCCTTAACCCCCCTTCCCCATCATATTTCTCTTCTTTTCTTTCTTTATAATAGAGGGGAGGATCTGAGCTGAGAGCAAAAGAAACTCTGAGATTATATCTGCTTTTTGATTGGTTGTTCAGAGATGGTTTCTGTGTTTGGCTGGCTGTGTGAGATGTTATCAAGCCACTGTGTGTGTGTGTGTGTGTGTGTGTGTGTGTGTGTGTGTGTGTGTGTGTGTGTGTGTGTGTGTGTGTGTGTGTGTGTGTGTGTGTGTGTGTGTGTGTGTGTGTGTGTGTGTGTGTGTGTGTGTGTGTGTGTGTGTGTGTGTGTGTGTGTGTGTGTGTGTGTGTGTGTGTGTGTGCGTGTGTCTGTGTGTCTGTGTTACTGTCATGTGTCACATTCAGGAGAAACTCGACAATGGCTCAAGTCTCTAGACAGGCAATTGCAGGATAAATTGATTGTGCGCTACAAAATTGTTGCTACAGTTGCTGAAAAGCACAATAATCAGAATAGTGTGAGGAGTTTGACGATTCAAAACGATAGAGGTGGTTTATTATGACGTTAGAAACAGTTTTACACGTATGTAAATAAAAATAATAGAAAATTGTGGATTTAAGAGGTTAAAGATGAAAAATCATGCACAACAAAACAGTCAGATATTGAAATGCTGTACTAACTTGGAGAGTCAATAAAAGTAACTAGTGGAAGAACCAGCGTGGAAGCCCATTCAGTTCCTGAATCAGTCTACAGTAAGTGAAAAAGGCATTTCCTTTTTAAGAGATTTCACTTGAAAGATACCTCTGCGGTATTTGGATAATTTCACTCTTTAGGTGTGTGTTTGTGGTAGGTATCGGACATAATTGGCCACAGTTAGCATAATTGCTTGTGGCACGCGTGCGACTGAGACAGTGTGCCAATTGGCGGATTACCCAGCATGATGCGTACCATGCCTCCATGACCTGCCACACGTTCTCTACAATGGACACACTTGGCACGCGCTTATACACTGGGTGGGCACAAGCAGACACATATACACCCACTTGGCAGACCCGCGGCTGGCACACTTAACACACTGCCACTTGGCATGCTCACATACAGATTAACGCACGTGCTTGGCTGTGGCCCATACGTATGTAATTGAATAGCGCGGTGTCCTGTTTTCATGTATTATGGAAGAGCTCGTTTAATTAGGAAAAAAATGAAAAGACTCATTAGAGATATGTTAATTAGCTTGCCTCTCTGCTCTCTGGAGAGCGCTGGCACCGGCACAGTGGGATGGAGGAAGAGAGGAAGGAAGAAACTGAGTCATGTCAGTCTTAAAGCAGAGAGAGAGTTTATTTCAATGAAAATACTTTTAATCAATATTACAGCCTTTATTCACCACATTTCTATATGTCGCTGAATAGTTTCTTGCCTTCCCCAGCTGCCTTATTTTAACTACTACATATTTATGAAAATCTACTGAACATAAGGATTCTGTGGCAGGGTTCAAAGTCTTTTAACTAATCAACAAAAGTATGTGGAAAGATGAGTGTTTAACCCCCCAGAGTCTGCGGTACTGAAGCGGTTCCTTCTCTTTTATTTCCTTTCAAAGTGTTTTTCCCAAAGCACTCCTTTTGTCCACTCAATGAAAGTGCTTAGTTGGCAGTTTCTCTTATTTGATGTGGAGGGAATTGGGGCTGCGTGTGTAGGTTAGTGTGTGTGTGTGTGTGTGTGTGTGTGTGTGTGTGTGTGTGTGTGTGTGTGTGTGTGTGTGTGTGTGTGTGTGTGTGTGTGTGTGTGTGTGTGTGTGTGTGTGTGTGTGTGTGTGTGTTGGGGGTGGTATGGGGTCCTGACAGTTTGTGAAGGGTGTATGGGAGGAGGTTGAGCAGCCCGTGGAATGGGTTTGGCTCTGGGCAGAGGGCTGGACAGACAGAGGGGAAGGATGGAGAGGAGAGGTTTGGGTCTGACCACTGAAGTGTGAAACTCTTATTTTGTGATTTGAAACATGAGTGAAATCAGTAATGAAATATGGTCGATAAAGGCCTCTCACACTTCCCAATGAAATGCCCCGAGTGTGAGTGTGTCTGTGTGTTTCGAGAAATGTGTTGTCATTTTATTCTGAAGCACTGGGGCGTTAGATGGTGTGAGGCGGCGGACGAGGGGAGAAGAAGGTAGGGGGGAGAGTGGGGGGGGGGGGGGGAGGATTTTCCACTTGAACTTACTGGTCTTTTACTGTCTGTATTTTTATTTCTCTGGCCCCTGTCAAGGAGAGCTCAGTTTTATGCGAATCCACATGAATTGTGTGTATGAGTTTGTGTTCATATATGAGCAAAGATCTCGACTCCCTGCCTTCCTCTGTGGGCTCAGGTGCCGCTACTGTCCTCACACCTTTATCATTTCATCTATTAATCCATCCTTACATGCTAGCATCAAC